CTTGGCCTGCTGTGTTCATCCAGCTCTACACCTTGTTATCTCAGATTTTCCAGCATCTGCAGTTCCTACTATCTCTGATACAAATGCAGGGATGTATGCTGCGATGAGGATTAAGTTTGCCTGGCATGGTGAAAATGGCTGTCAACTTAGTGTGAGCCATCTACCCGAAATTCCAGAAGTGCAACCCAGCAGGACTGATATTGGCCACTGACAGCAAATCAGCAGTCACTTTTATATTGTGCCAGATTTGCATTTCCATGCAGTTCAAAATGTTTTGCACTGTGTATGGCACCAATTCCTCAGTCTCTACAGAAAAGGAAGAGTGCAAATTTTTAGCTGGCAATGAAATGGGATGAGAAATTCTACCATGGAAGTATCATTTAAGGGGAATGCCTCAAATGTTACCAAAGGGATTCTTCTCCTGCTCAGCTTGAGGTGAACACAGGTGATAAACAGCATGCAACCACCAAGTTCCTTTTCCAGGCATGGATTTCAGGTTTGTGCTGTAGTCTTAGGAGTTTATTGTTTGGGCAATCAGTATCAGCAACTTGATAATCACACTCAACACAAGAGTTTACATTAAAACAACACTAAATTAATCTCCTGAGGTTGTATAATAGTCACTTCTATTGGCCATAAGCTTTGACCTTACCTGGCATTTGATTCCTGCTTTGCTACAGGGGCACACTTCAGGATCACAGTAAAACCTACAGTCGCACCCGCATTCCTCTCTGGACGAGCGAATGGCTCGCAGCTCATGCTTTTCCTCGGTATCAATCCTGTTGACGCCTGATGCACGTAATAACGCTCTTCGCCTTTTTGTGGGTAGTGGTTGTAAAAAGAAATAGTCATCTACCTCAATACTGTCCACATCAATGTCATCGTCAGAAACGTCATCAATCGTGAGTACATTGGCTTCCTCCGACTCAATTGTACCGTTCTTTGTCAACTGTTGAGAAACATTTAGAATAATTTATGGTCAGGTATCTGTGGGCTAAAGAACAAGACCAATATTGTGTGTACTGGTGCAATGTTTCCATCAGGTTTCACTGCTAATGCGTTCATTCTACAAGCTATGTTGTCCTTGGATGTGAAAGCTCATTGCAACAACTGTGCTGTGAGACTTTCTCGAGGAAAGCTTGGACAATTTTGGAATAGACCTCATCTCTGATTAAAAAACAAAAGAAAAGGTAGAGTCCGAGTCATCGCCAATAAAGGCATCAGTCTGCAGCTTACAGCCTAGGGGTCCAACAATGAATCTGCTCGTGAGAGAGGACCACAACGGAGATTGATCAATGTCACCTATAATCCCAAGGATGTGCTCAGTTATAATACGTGGTACATGATAGACTTGAGGGCCAATTACAAATATTAACTGTACATTTAATTTCCAAGGGCATCTGGAAGAAAAGCCTCCCTGGAAAATACTGGTTTCTAATACAACCTGCCGCAGTATTTTAGAATCTACAAACAAACATCAATATTACAATTCATTCTTTCTAATGTACTGAATTTTACTGAAAACTACTTGCTATTTACCATTTTGAATTGATTTTCTTTGTACCTTAAAACTGCTTTCTCCCAATGGGATGGAATCTATAATCAAAAGAAAGCTACTTGTTTGTTAAAAGAAATAGACAAAACAATGGCAGGAGGAATAAAACAAAGAATTGTAATGCTGGAAATCTGAAACACAAAAAAAGTTGCTGGAGAAACTCTGGCAGCATCCGTGCAGGGAAAACAAATTCTTTGGGGTCACTGGACTTGAAACATTAACTCTGCTTTCCCTCCACAGATGCTGCCAGAACTGCTGAGTTTCTCCAACAATTTCAGTTTCTTTTGTGTTAATGGCAGACCCTCTCTGCTTTCTAGTCAGGGCTGTAATTGAAAATTTAGAATGTGCAGTCCAAGACCCCCTCTCCACACACCCGTGTTGTGACTTATCAAGGGGGTGAGGGCTGAACTTATTACATTAAGTGGCACATTCTAGTTGATGTTACATCCATCTTCTTACAACACACAATTGATCAATCTTAACTGTTGAAAAAGTAGCACTTCACTTTTCAGCAGACCAGCAAAAAGGATAACAAGGTGCAGAGCTGGATGAACACAGCAGGCCAAGCAGCATCATAGGAGCAAAAAGGCTGACGTTTCGGGCCTAGACCTGCCTCAAAATGATCTCCTACCTTCCCCAGCACGCAAAGGCACTGTGAACCCCAGGCTGTTTACACAGACATGCTCTATTTCACCACCTCATCCCCTTCCCCAGTTTTGCATCTCCCTCCACCTCCCCCCCCTCCCCATTTTTGCTTCTCCCTCCACCTCTCCCTCCCTCCCCAGTTTTGCTTCTCCCTCCCTCAAGATCCCGTCACAGCGAAACTGTGTTTTGGTCAAAAACAGAAGTTACTGGAAAAGCTCAGCAGGTCTGGCAGCATCTGTGAAGAAAAAAAATCAGAGTTAACGTTTCGGGTCCGGTGACCCTTCCTCAGAACTGCGTTTAGGTCAAACAGCCCAAGAGAAAAGGCCAAAATCTCATGGCAGGTCTTGGAGTCAGACGTGTTGGAAGAAGGGTGGTTTTTTGGGAGCCTGTTGCAGTTCACTCAGATGAATCTCAATGAAGTTAACTCCTGGAAAAGATCTGCACATTGAAGCACTTAGGACACTAAACTGTAACAAGTAATTTTGTTGAGACAGTTCAATCATAGCAATGACGTGGAACTGCAACATTCCAGAGAAGCAAGCAGCCTTAACAGTTTATCCACCCTGTCCCCATTTCAGCTCTTTTCCTTCATCCACTTATCACCATTTATGATTAGACTGGTTATCGCTTCTACTTCAACTAACCACAGCCCTCAAAGTTCCATCTATAGCTTCACAACCAATTTACCCACACAAAGTAGTGCCATTTTCCCCTCTTCAAATACTGAAATTTTTCAACTCATCTTCTGTCAGCTAAGTCACTTTTGAGATATAGAGAAACCAATTTTCCAGTGCAATGCCCCAATGGCATTCTCCATCAGAAGGCTAGTTGTTTAGCCCAGTGTTGACTTGGGCTGTGACCCACAATTAAGTTGAGCTCGCTCCATAAAGGGAGACTGGAATGATAGACCTTAAGAGCATTTACGTTCAGCTTGAAAACAAATGTCTTTAATATTTATTCTTGGGATGCGGACTTCATTGTCAAGGCCAGCATTTATCACCCATCATCAAGACAGTGGTGACAGGCCGCCTTCTGGATTTGTACATCAGAGTTGCTTGCCCAGCCATTTCAGAGGAGCAGTTACGAGTCAACCCATCTGGCTCTGGAGTCACTTAAAGGCCAGACAAAAGATATCCTTCCTCAAAAAGGACGTTTATAAATCAGATGGGCTTTTACAACAATCTGGTTAGTTTCATGGTCACTATTACCTTTTAAACCCAGATACTATGGTGGGATTTGAACACCTGTCTCTGGAGCATTCGTCCAGGCCTCTGCATTACTAGTCCATTAACATAACTACTATCCTTTGAACATTAAATAATTAAACTAGATGATGCCAAGGCCTCATGTTACCTGGAGTCACTCAGCTTCTGGACAGTACTTGTTGACTGTCTGGTTAAGGAACCCTCCAAGTTCTGACAGCACGGTTACTAGAGTTGCACTTGCGAACTTCATTCAAGTCACAAGGGTAAATTATTCAGAAGGAATCACAACCAAACCGCAAGCCTCAAACAGGTAACTCTTTTACCTTCATTTTTCGCACATTGAGTTTCTCCTCCTTCAGGTGGTCACGGAGCATTTCCCTGTGGAGGTGTTCCTGCTCCTGTGCAAACTCGCACAGTGTGTATCTGCGGATGCAGTTGTGGCGCCTGGCCATGCCCAGGGAACTACCTCCCTGGCTTGGCACACTGGTGAACCCTTGACGGCGTGTGAAGTAGTAGACAGTGACCTGGTCAAAACGAACATTCTTCACTCTCAGCCGCTTCTGCTTCTTCAAGATTGAAGTTGCTGAAAAGCGAGTTCAAAAGTAGTCAATGACTGTGCCGTGCACTGAAATCAGATCAAACAGGAGCATTACTAGAAGGGAGTGCACCAAGACTGTTAAGTACTTGCGTACAGAGCACTTATTGCAGTCTAATGCGTCCATTTTTAAACTGCCTTGTGGAAGTTTGCTGCAAACTGACTGCCACGTTTCCCAGCGACAGTACTTAGGAATAGTTTTAGACTTTAAAATGATAGAAAAGGACAGAAATCAAGTTAATAGGTTAGAGAAAAGCTGATTTTGAGGAACTGAGAAATAGGACTACAAAAAAGAGCAGGAGGCAGCCATTCGGCCCATTGAGATTGCTGTGCCACTTGACAGGGTCACAGCTGGATCTGATTGTGATCTAACTTTATTTTTCCACCAATCCTCCATAAGTCTTAGTTCCATTGTCAATCAAGTAACTGTCAAACTCAGCCTTGATTATATTGTTAGCCAGCCTCCAGGGCTCTTGGGGAAGAGAATTTCAAAGACTGACAGTTTCATGAATAAATTCTTCCTAATCTGTCTTAAACGAGAGATGCCTTATACTTAAACTGTGCCTCCTGGTTACAGATTCTACATGAGGAAATATCCTTTCCGCATCCACCTTGTCTAGCCAATTCAGGTCATGTTTTAATAAGGTCACCTCTCATTCTTCTGAATGCCAATGGATATATGCTCAACGTTTTCTTCATAGAATCATCCCATGAATCAGCCTAGTAAACCTTCTCTGAACTGCCTCCAAAGCAAGTATGCCCCTCCTTAAGTAAGGAGGCCAAAAACTGCACACACTAAGCGCAGTCTCACTAAACTTCCTTGATTTCAAACTCAATCTCCCTTGCAATAAAGGCCAGCATTCTGTTTGCCTTCCCAATTACTTGCTGTAAATGCATGCTGACATTTTGTGATTCATGTAGCAGGATGCCCAGATTCCTTTGTCCCACAGCCCCTTTCAATTTAAAGAATATTCTGTTTTCCTATCCTTCCTGCCAAAATGAACAACCTTGCATTTCCCTCTGTCAATCTATAGATATCCCTTTGCAGGCTCTGTCTTCTTTCATATTGGACTTGGGGGAAAACAAAATGGGAAACTATATTGGGAAAGCCATACAGAACAACTATGGAAAACACTTAAAACAGCTTGACATAGTGCAGGAAAATATGTTCTGCTGAATGGAGAGAACAAACTAAAAATTATGGAACTCGATGGATGATAAAAACATAAAGGGAGCATTTGAGACCTACATCGAGTACATAGAAAGCAGAGGAAGAGCATGATAGAGACAATACAAAGAAATTAGGAAGGAAGTTTAAAAAACACAATTGGGAAGGCAAAGAGGAATTAAGAAATTACATTATTGAGGAATATTAAAAATGCAAACTAATTTACAGGAACATCAATAAAAATAATGAAGGCTGTAATAGGAGTGGGACCATTAAGGGATAGACAGGATATCATAGGTAATGATAGTGATCACAGAAACAATACTTATTTTGCCTCAGCATTTACCAGGAATCTAGAACAGGTAGAATTGATATTAAATGATATCAGTGGTGATATAATTACATGCAAAATATAAAGGGGGGTGTATTGAATAAACTAAAACTCAGAATAAAAACCCTAGTTCAGGTGGATTGCATCCATGTATTTTGAAACAAGCTGGGGCAGAGACTATAGTGGCATTACCACTCATTTCAGAATTGATTAAAAATGTGTAGTGCCAGAGGACTGGTAAAAAAAACCTAACTTAATTCCTATATTTAAGATTGACAGACATGCCCAGAGAATTACAGACTAGTCGGTTTAACACCAATGTTAGGAAAAATGATGGAATCCTTACTGAAGGACAGAACATAAGGACATCTTTGATCTGATTTATTAACACATGTATTTTGTTACAAAATACAATGAAGTGTTGTATGGTGTTGCCACTCTCCGACACCATCTTAAAACACAAAAAATAAACCAAAACAGAATATAAAGGCAGAAGAATAAAGAAAAATAGTGTTCAACTTTACAGTCTTTCTTAAGTGTTCTGCCATGGGCCATGGGCTTGGTGGCCAGGCATGAGTCCTTTCACCAGGGTGCCCAAGAGATAGGGAGGGGTATAGGGCTGGAGGTGGTGACGGATAGAGAGGAGCTGTAGGAAGCAGAGATATAGAAATAGAAAATAAAAATAAAAATAAATCAATAATCAGCATTGATTTCAAAAAGGGAAGATCTTGTTTTACCACTGAGGAGGACTGGAACAAATTACAGGAGCGCATTAATAAACTTGGAGAATGGGCAAATAATTAACAAATGAAGTTCTGCGCAAATAAATAGTTGGTATTGCATTTTGGTAGGAAGAGCAGACAGATCATTTTTTACTTGAAAGTAAAAAAGAAATAAATCTAAAGAGAGTGATAGAATCATACAGCATGGAAACAGAACCTTCGGTCCAACTCGTTTAGTTTGAGACACCTGGTCGACATGGACTAGTTCCATATCTCTCTAAAGCTCTCTTATTCATGTACCTATCCAAATGTCTTTTAAATTTTGGAATCATATCTGTATCTACCACTTCCTCCGGTTGTTCCTGCCACATACGAAAGACTTTGTGCAAAAATGTTGCCCTTCAGGTCCCTTTTAAATCTTTCTCCTCTCACCTTAAAAATATACCCTGTAGTTTTGAACTCCCCTACCCTGGGAAAGGCCTTGGCTATTCAACCTATCCATGCCCCTCATGATTTTATAAACCTCTATAAGGTCACCCCTCAACCTCCTATGATCCAGCCTATCCAGCCTCTCCTTACAAGTCAAACCCTCCAGTCTTGGCAACATCCTTGTAAATATTTTCTGAACCCTCTCCAATTTAATAATATCCTTCCTATACCAGGGCAACCAGGACTGTACACAATACTTCAAAAGTGTCCTCATCTACATCCTGTACAACTGCAACATGACATCCCAACTCCTATACTCAATGAACAAAAACAGAAGTTGCTGTAAAAGCTCAGCAGTTCTGGCAGCATCTGTGGAGATAAAATCAGAGTTAACGTTTTGGGTCAGGTGACCCTTCCTCAGAATGGGTCAGTTCTGAGGAAGGGCCACTGGACCCGAAACATTAACTCTGGTTTTCTCTCCACAGACGCTGCCAGAACTGCTGAGTTTTTCCAGCAACTTTTGTTTTTGTTTCCGATTCACGGCATCCACAATTCTTTCATTTTCCTATACTCAATGGTCTGAGCAATGAAGGCAAGTGTACCAAACTCCTCCTTAACCACCCTGTCTACCTGCAATGCCACTTTCAAGAACGGAGTCAAAAATCAGGGCTCTTGGAGTACAAATACATCAATCATCAAATGTTGCACAGGTTAGCAAGGCTATAAAAACAGCAAGCCAAACAATTAGTTTTATTGCTAAAGCAATAGAATTAAAAAGTAAGGATGTTATGCTGAATCTGTATTAAACATTGGTCGGACCACACTTAGGAGTACTGCATGCTGTCCCAGTCACTGTGTACGATAAAAAGGATCCAGAGGCACTGGAGAAAGTGCAGAAGTTTACAAAGGCAATCTCTGAAATGTGTAAGTTTATATATCAGGTAAGGACTTAAAGCCAGGGTCTTTTCTCCCTTGGACAAAAAGGCTGAAGTGTGATGCAATGGAGATGTTTAAAATTCAGAACAATTTTGATTAAATGGATACAGAGAATGTTTCCTCTGTGGGGAAGAGAATAATGAGGCCATCAATGTAAGATGGTAACCAAGTAATCCTACCAGGAATTCAGAAGAAACTTGTTCACCTGAAGAGTGGTGAGAATATGGAACTCACTACCACAGGAATGATTAAAACAATTAGTATAGATGAATTTAAAGGGCAGCTAGACAAACAGAATAGAGATTTACAATGATAGATTTAGATTTGGAAAGATGGGAGGAGGCTCAGTGAAGCATAAACACTGGCATGGACTGACTGGGTTGAATGGATTTACAGCATAGAAACAAACCAAAGTAACTTCAGGAAAATACAACATTGATTAGAAAGTACTTATGGGATGTTGTGAAAAGCACTATATAAATGCTTAATTTTAAGACTGAGAGGGCAGGTTACAGCTTCTCAGCAGAGCCAGCAATCTAGGTTGTCTCTTAAGACTTCAAACATACGTAAATTTTCCTGTGAATAAAGATTCAACTTACTGACCATTAAAAGCCCACGGTAATGAAAATGGTCCGACTGATGGAGGGCCAAACATTTTCAATCAAATAGCAATCATGAACCCAAAAGGTCAGCATCAGTACTAGTTCTTCAGGGTCCAATCATTTCAAGTGCTACGGCAGGATTACATCAAAATAAAGTGGCTTGCCTCTTTTTTTTTTTAAAAAAATCAAAGTGTCTGACTCAGGGAAATCATCCATGAAACGTGATTAAAATTGGATGGAGCCTTTCAGTGAGATGAGAAAACATTTATCAACACCACACCCAACATTCCCACATTCAGGAAACAAATACAGCACCTCACCAGTTTAACGTTAGTTGCTCAACCTCCTGGAGGTATTGAGTCAGTTTTCATAGAGCTTGTGTGAATGCTGTAGCTGCAGAAGTGTCGTACATCACTTAATGAGTGCTCACCTCCAGCTATTTAGAAAAGCAGCCAGTCAGCTTTTTGCAAACAATTGGTATCACTCCAGCCTTCAATTCAAATGCTTTAAGCTGCCTGTCCCCAACCCTGCCCACTTGCTCATCTGCACTGAAATATCACTGAATTCTTCATGATTAACATCCTCTGATTAAAGTTCAAGAGAAGCAACTTGCAGAGTTACTGAGCAAACCCCAAATCACTAAGCAACTTTAAACATTCTCTCCAGCACTGGAGACCTATTACATGGCCCATTTGACATTCAGTTCCATTAAAGTTAACTGAACGGAGTTAGGCAGGGAGTGTAACAGGAAGTTGAAATGATTATTTTTCATTTTTTTATACTGCCCAAAACCAAAATTAAACCCAAAGGGGAAATCAGTTAAAATTGGCCAAATTACCACCTAATAGAATTATTAGTTACAGCAGTTCAACCAGCAAAATGCACGACACCCGGCTTCCCTGATCTTAAGGCATCTCTTATTATACATTCATCAAGGTGAGGTCAATTCGAGCTGATGAACAGAACATGTTCATTTCCAGAACTCAGTGCGGGTAACCACCACCTCTGCTCACCGCCACCTTCAAGGGCAATTAGGGATGGGCAATAAATGCTGGCCCAGCCAATGATGCCCACATCAAATAAATAATTTTAAAAAGTAGCCCATGGCAATAGTATAAAAGATGCTGCTGATTTACAGTTATCTTATTTGGCACTACTGATGTGGACTCAAAACATTGCCATTATTTCCCTAAGAACGGGTGTTGCAAAGTTGGATCGAGTATTTGTGGATCGGAAGGCGAATGTCAGAATTTGATGTTTGTAAAATGATAGAGGGAAGAGCATGTGGTCCCTTTAAAAGATGGGTTTTTTTTTCTAGGCTTGGAGATTTAAAAAGAGAGGCAGGTGCATACAGAGATCTCTGAAATTGAAACATTATATCTAAAGGCTGTGTGGTTAACAACCCAGGCAGTAGTTTAGTTTGTTGTTAAGGCAACCAGTTTGAAAATCAGCCAATTAATTTAAAACAGACAATTAAACTTAAAAAAAGTTCAAATTTGATTGTTTTGACAACGTAGGACCAATCCTATTCTAAGAAATTAATAGGTCATCAAGAAGAGGATATTTGAAAAATTAGTGAGAGAGCAACTGCCATCTGTAAGAATTAACAACCCTAAAATTAGCAGCCCTAAAGAGGAAAATCACTGGCTCTCACAGGATTCTCTGAGCTCTCAGAAAACTATCTGACTAAAAGATACAGCGGCACTCTTAGCTAATATTCCTGACACAAGAATTTGATGGACAATGGGGCTTCTGACTGAACAACAGCGGAGAAGGTACAGAACATTGTGGAAGACATATCCTGGCTGTAATCGAGAGATTAAGTTTTAATTTATTTTATTATTATTTTGGTTTGTATAAGTGGGACTTGTATTTATCGGAACAGCATACCATTAGAATTTTGTTTTATTCAGGAATAGTTAGTAGTTAAGGGGGAATTGTTTGGTTTATTAGTAGTTCTGTTAATTTGTTCACTGTTAGAGTTAGATAAATAAATTGCTACTTCTTGATCATAGCATGACGGTCAGGAGATCATTTCGTTTAACCTCTCTGTACCAGATTGGCGGCAGTGGGGGGGGGGGGGGGGGGGGGGGGGTGTCAAGAGGCAGGTTACACCACTTTTCACATTTCCTTCAACAGATTATGAGATAAGGTGAGCTTCTCTGGGTGTTTTGGTTTTACTTACCATGGCGGGGTGGGGGAGAAGAAAAGAGGAGTTGGGAAGTCGACCTCCACTTCACAGAAGAGATTTAATTCAGGTTTTTTTAAAAAAAAGAGTGAATAAGAAAATGTTATTCCTTCAATTAAGCAGTGAGATGCAAGAGGTCATTGATTTAATATTGTTTTTAAGAGTCAGCAGAAGGATAAAGTTAACAGGGGCCACCATTGATCAAATGGATTTAAGTCAATGAGAAGCAATATTGAGTGAATGGATAGAGAGCCTGGCTATAGCCTGACCTTTCTTCAAGGTAATTTGGATGTTGAAAGAGCAGCCCAGTAAGGAGGAGATGCATGATATCCATCAACTGGAAAATATTGAGTATTAAATAATTTATTGGTTTGCTCAGCTCCTTTTAGCTGGTGAAAGCTTAAAGGGACCAGGTTTTTTGGCAACACTGCAGACAACCTAATAGGACAGTTGAGGGTTTATTAGTTGGCCTATATTAATTGTTGAACATCAGGCTATTTGTAGTGAATTGAAAAATTTCAGTATTGTGTAAGGAGTTGCTATTACGTAATTAAAACAATCTCCAAATAAACAGGGTGCAAGTTGCACAGAATTAGGAAGTTATGCTGTTAAATATTGGCTTCTTGGATTGTCTTTTGCCCAGTTTAAAATGGATCAAAAACCACCTGACTGGCATTTGATGTCTATTCACACACATATACAAAACTTACCTGTTCTGAAATCAAAGTGCAGAAGATTTAATGTTTAAATATGCATTTCTCACTCGCCTGCTGAGGGTCTTGAATCTTATTGTGTACAGTCCTACAGATGCCCATCACTCGCCAGTCACCAATTGATACGACCATGGCACAGCCATGTTGGACTACAGGCAGACCATTTAACAATGGAGGGCATCACTGATAATCCAACTTTCTCCACACCTCACATCCACTTTCCAGAAGAGAACATTCAGGAGGAGTATTATAATACTTTTCACCTCTCTGCTCTAGGAGATACAAAGGCCAATTGGAGGGAGTCTTCCTCAATCCCCGCTATGGTTAAAAACCAAACAGCAACTGTTAATCAAATCAAGGCTCGAGTCAGAATGAGCTGATTCATAAAATGACTGAATCATTAGAGGATGGATGAGCTCAAGCATTTTCACCAGTGGCAGTTTGACCAAAAACAGGCACAATGTGGGAAGACTGTCTGGGAAAGTCACATTGTAGGAAATTAGAGTTCCTGAACTTGGTGCGGGGGAAAAAAAAAGTGACTTTAGTGTTTTGCTACCTAGAACTGACAGTAGCTTGTTAGTTCAGTTAGCTTGACGGTGGAGTTCCTCTTCTGGTTGAGATAGACTTGGGACCTGCCTGCTGACCCCTTCCCCCATGCAGAGCAGTTCCCCTCAAGTTATATAACTGAATGTTTCTCTATGATAGAGAATTGCCTGCTGTCCTTCGTAGACTATGGCTAATTACTTACTTACCTAGAGCTGAAATTGTTGGGAGCAGGAGGGCAGGTAAGAACTATAAATTAGTAATTCAGACTAAGTTTTGCTGTGAAGGTACAAGCATTAAGGAAAGATCCTGGTATCAGTTAGTATCCCTTGGCCAAGTTACAGTAAATAGAGATTTGAAATGCTATGTCTTAGTGTGTCTTACCTCAAGAAACCCAGAGCAAAACTACAAGTTTTCTCAAAAACACTAAGCCAGGTTTCAATTTCTTTATAATAGAAAACCCCTTGGGTCCACGGCGCCAGCATAGATTTATCTGACAAATTTTACAATACTCATCTAGTCTATCCATACAGTAAAGCATGCTTACAACATAAGGTGATGAATTGTCTGAAATGTTTCTTTCTCCATTTTCATAATCATGAACACAAATCTTGCACTTTGAGAGTTGCTTTGACACTGGCCCTCAATTCAACTCAATTAGAGAAGACAAGTGTCCACGAGTTAAAAGGTGTTTACACTGCTGAGTCCAAAACCCTCATCCCAGTATACTTAGGCCCACGTAAAGCAAAAAGAACAGGGCTCATGAGTAAACTGATAAGGGAGCAAAGATTTAATTGCGGGACTGCTGTTACCAGTATTCACCTGAAAGCATTTGGTACATCTTTCTCCCAAACCAAAAAGACTTCCTGAGGTATATTCTTAAGCTGCTCTATTCACTGGCTCTTGGAAAGATTTTCTTTTTCTACCAAAAGTACATGTAATAACCTATTATCTTGTTTGAGTTACACACTGTAGCTGCGATTCTAAGTTGAAAGCTTGTCCCTTTAACTGCCTTCAACACTTACGGCTCAGCTCCCTGGAGGTGGGAGGGTTGAGGCTGTCACAGCTGTCTGCACTGTCACTGCTGGAAATGTCATCATCCGATTCCTTGGGTGAAGAACACAATGACGAACCATCTACCTCTTCGAATTTGCGCTTTATGCTGACAGCCATCTCCATTTCTCACCCTGCTGAAGAGAATAAGTACATGACTGGAAACTTCAAATAGAGTTATTAATTTGAAAAAAGGCACACACCACCGATCACCTCAGTCAACCTACATTCCTTCTGTATGAAAATGAAGCAAAGCTTTTTGAAGTGTATTCATTATTTTGGTGTAGGAGACACAGCAGCCAATTTGCACACAGTATGATTCCACAAATGACAATGAGATACAGGAGCATAATCTGTTTTATGGATGTGGATTTAGGGGTAGATATTGATGAGGCCATCGGAATAACTCCTTTGCTGCACTTAGAATGATGCTGTGGGATCTATACAGCCACCTATGGGGGAAAAGGGAGGGCCTCAGTTTAATCTCACATTGGCAGACACTGCCTCCAACACTGCAATATTCCTTCAGCACTGCACTGGAGTGTCAGTACAATTCATTGCTGATGCATTGAATAACAGAAAATGTTTCCATTTAAATCAAATCAGAGGCAGATCCTGGGCACTTTGGGTAACTTGTATGTAGCACTGTTTAGCTTCAGTGCTCTTATCTATGCAAATCCCTCACTTAAATGGTTTTTCACAGATGGCTGCCAGGGGTGTGAAATCTGAACTTCACAAATCATTTTTGAACCATTTGTTCTTGCCAAAGCAAATCAGATGGTGTTAACAAAAGAACCCACCAGTAAATGAGCTTTTCTGACTTGTCATACAAAATTGGATCATTGGCTCTGATCTCCCCCTCCCTGCCATCGAACCTATAGTGTAATCCTTGCTGGGGTACCTGGTCTCTCAGGCAGCAACCCAGCCTGGGCATTAGTGACCCCTCCCAGCAGCAAGTTGAGCTCCTCCTCATTGTACATGGGCAAGCTAGAGGTGGCAAGGGATGATGGTGGTCTTCCAGTTGTCCCAGGCCACATTACCCACCAGCTTGAGATCTTGGCAATCAGGTACTGAAGGTGGCAGCAGGGAAAGGAGGGCCCTGACCCCGACACGCAGGTTCATAATTCCTTGAAAGTGGACTCACTGGTAGATAGGATAGTGAAGGCAGTGTTTGGTATGCTTGCCTTTATTGATCAGTGCAGTGAGTACAGGGAGAATTGAGAATTGGGAGATCATGTTGCACTGTACAAGACATTGGTTAGACCACTTTTGGAATACTGTGTGCAATTTTGGGTCTCTGCTATAGGAAGGATGCTATGAAACTTGAAAGGGTTTGGAAAAGATTTACAAGGATGTTACCAGGGTTAGAGGGTTTGAGCCATAGGGAAGAGCTGAATAGGCTGGGGCTATTTTCACTAGAGCATCAGAGGCTGAAGGATGACCTTACAGAGGTTTATAAAATCATGAAGGGCATGGATAGGGTAAATAAACAAGGTCTTTTCCCTGGGTTGGGGGAGTCCAAAACTAGAGGGCATACATTTAAGGTGACAGGGGAAAGATTTTAAAAGGGACCTAAGGGGCAACTTTTTCATGCAGAGGGTGATGCATGTATGGAATGAGCTGCCAGAGGAAGTGGTGGGGGCTGGTACAATTACAACATTTAAAAGGCATCTGGATGGGTATATGAATAGGAAGGGTTTAGAAGGCAAATGGGACTAGATTAATTTAGGATATCTGGTTGGCATGGACAAGTTGGATTGAAGGGTTTGTTTCCGTGTTGACTATCATCCTTTTATCCCCTCCCTCCACTCCTGTTCTTGTTCCATTTTCACTCTCACCCCCAAAATGAAACAGGAACTCTGTTCCATCTCATAGGATCAGGGTGGTACACCCTGCCAAGTCAGAGGTCGTGGATTCCAGCCAAAATCTAGGGTACACAGGGTGTGCTGCATTTTCAAAAATGAACATTCTGACAAGATGTTAAACCAAGTTTGCTTATTCTGGCAGAATTGAGAGACATTGCATTACATATTTGAATTTGAGTCATCATTGTCCTGGTCAGTATTCATCATTCAACTAAATATCATGAAACACATGAGCAGTTTGCCTCTCATTGAGACGATCACAGTCTGAAAGCAATTTGCTGATGTGGCTTTCAATTGATTTGAGGATGATACCTACTACTTTAGGTTGGCATGTTTCCACCAAGATCTTGATGTGACAGAAGAGGCCAATTCTTGACCCACAGATCTTTAGGCACATTGAGCAGGATGTTCCACAGCATAATGCGATCAAGTGGGATTTACTTGTAGTTTTTTCGTTCTCTACCACCATTGCCTCATCACTGAGGCATCGCTGGCTGGGTTAGCATTTATTGCCCATCCTAAATTGTCCGAGAAGGTGGTGGTGAGCTTCCTTCTTGAACTGCTGCAGTCCTTGAGATGTAGCTACACCCACAGATGTTGTTAGGGACGGAGTTCAGGATTTTTACCCAGTGGCAGTGGAAGAGAGATGATATCCTTTCCAAGTCAGAATGAAGTGTGTTTTGGAGAAAAATTTGAAGGTGGTGGTATTCCCATGTAGCTGCTGACCTTGTCCTTTTAGAATGTAGAAATTTTGGGATTCAAAAAGGTGCTGTCAAAGAAACCTCGGAATTTCAGCAGTGCATCTTGTAGGTGGTATAAACTGCTACTAAGTGTTGGTGGTATAGGGATCGAATATTCGTGGATGTAGTGCCAGTCAAATGGGCTGCTTTGTCCTGAATGGTGTCAAGCCTCTTGAGCGTCGTTAGAATTGTACTCATTCAGACAAGTGGGGAGTAGTTCATCACGCTCCTGATTTGCACTTTGTAGACGATAGGCTTTGGGGAGTCGGGTGGTGAGCTATGTGCTGCAGTCTTCCTAGCCTCTAACCTGCTCTTGTAGCCACTGTAATTATACGGCAAGTCCAGGTCAGTTTCTGGTCAATGGTAATCCCCAGGATGTTGAATCCTCCACTATCAGTGATAGTAGTGCCATTGAATATTAAGGGTAAAAGGTTAGATTCTGTCTTGTTGGAGATAATTATTGCCTGGCACTTGTGCAGTACAAATGTTACTTGCCACTTGTCAGCCCAAAACTAAATATTGTCCAGGTCTTGATGCATTGACAGACTGCTGTAATATCTGAGGAGTCACGAATGGTGCTGAACATGGTCGCTAATGATTGCGCAAACCCGCTTTTGACTTTATGATAGAGGGAAGTCATTGAAGAAGCAGCTGAAGATGGTTGGCCTAAGGACACTACCCAGAGGAGCTTCTGCAGAGATGTCCTGGAGCTGAGATGAATGACCCCCGAAAACCAGAACTACATTTTGTGCTATGTACGTGAGGTTTCCCCCGATTCTCATTACTCCAGCTTTGCTGGGGCCCCTTTATGCCACACTTGGCCAAACATAACCTTGAATGTCATGGACAGTCACTCTCCCCTCACCTCAGAGGCCCTGGTGGAACCCAAACTGGGCATCAGTGAGCAGCTGCTGCTTTATGGCACTGTTGATGACACCCTACATCACTTTACTGATGATCACAAGTGAACTGATGGGGTGGTGACTGGCCGCATTGGATTTGGCCCGAGTTATGTGTACAGGAAATATCTGGGCCTGTTTCCATAGTGCTGGGTTGATGCCAATGTTTATTTGTACTGGAACAGTTTGACTGGAGACATGGCAGTCCTGGAGCACAAGTCTTCTGTAGTATTGCCAGAATATTGTCAGGGCCCATAGTTCATGCCTTTAGTGCCTCATGAATACCCAGTATTGAATTGCTAGATCTGTTCTAAATCTATGCCATATCCTCCATGTTGTGTGGTGCTACCAATGTAAAGACAGGACACTGCCTCCAAAAGAACTGCATGGTGGTCACCATTATTGACACGGTCACTGACAAATGCATCTGTAGAAGAGTATGGAGTGTCAAGTATGCTTTTCCCTCATTGGTTCCCTTGCCACCTGCAGTAGACCCAGTCTAACAGTTATGTCCTCTAGGCTTCGACCAGCTTGGTCAGTAGTACTGTTGCCAGGCCACTCTTGAGAATGAACGTTGAAATCCCCTGCCCAGTAGTGCCCTTGCCACCCTCAGCATTTCCTCCACGTGGTGCTTAACATGGAATACCAATGATTCATGATTATGGGCTGGAGGCAGACAGCACATAGTAACTCATATGGGGTTTCTTTGCCTATGTTTGACTAAATGTCACAAGGTGTCACAATGCTTCACAAGGTCTGAGGACTCCCAGGGCAATGCCTCCAGAAGTGCCACTGTGCCACCGCCTTTGCTCCGTCTGTCCTGCCAATGAGACAGGAAATACCCAGGGATGGTAACAACAGTATCTGTAAACTATGATCCCAAGCGTATGAGATAACAAGGTGTAGAGCTGGATGAACACAGCAGACCAAGCAGCATCAGAGGAGCAGGAAGGCTGACGTTTCGGGCCTAGACCCTTCTTCAGAAATGGTCAAGAGTATGACTAGGCGAGGCTAATGCTTGACTAGTCTGTGCAACAGCTCTCCCAATTTTGGCACTAGCCCTCAGATGTTAACGAGGAGGATTCTGCAGGGTCACAGTTGTTTTTGCCATTTACATTTCCAGTGCCTACCTTGATGCCAGGTGGACCAAATAGTCATACACGGGAGTGGCTTGCTAGGCCATTTGAGAATAGTTAAAAGTGAACCAAATTGCCAGGGGTCTGGAGTTGCATGTAGGCCAGAATAAGTAAGGACACCAGTTTCCTTCTTTAAAAAAAGGACATTAGTGAACCAGATGGGTTTTTACAACAACTGATAACTCATGGTCATCACTGAAACTTGAATTCTAGATTTTTTTTACTCAAATTCCACCATTTGCCATGCTGCAATTTGAATCCAGGTTCCCCAACATGACCTGGGCCTTTGGATTACTAACTCAGTGACAAACTGGATTTTGTCCATTTGACCCTGGTCAACGGGTGGCCCCCGTGGCTTCAAAATAGCTCTACACATCCTGAAAATCAGTGTATTGTTGGATTTGTGTGGGCTTTCCCATCTCCCAGGTGTCCTTTATCTTCTGGATTTGTCACTGGATATCAGTCTTGAGCTATTGGAATGCTGGCTTCGTCAG